TTTTTTTTTTTTTTTGGCCATCACTGGTTGGCATAATAGAGAAGACCTCAACCTGTCTCACCAGAGAGCAGGGCTCAGTTCCCTCATGTGGAGGGGACAAAGGGCAGAGTGTTGAGCATACAAACTCTGGAACTAGACTGGAGTTCTGGTGGATCTCTATTCTGTGACTTCCTAGCTGTGATTTAACTTCTCCGGGGCCTACTTATCTTACCTGTAAAATGAAGTCAGTAATACTTCCTACCTTGCAGGAATCTTGTGAGCATTAAATGAATCAAGTGTAAAGTACTTAGAAAAGCACTGGGACCTGGGGAGTGCTCTATAAGCATTGGGTAAATAAATAAGCTCCTACTTTGACTCTGTTATAGGCAGTGAGCATAAAATTTTAGACTTTTCCAGAAGCTTTCACATTATCTCACTTGATTTGGAAAACTCTACTATAGTCAGAGGAAATATTTGTCTCCACTTTTAGCACATAAGGAAACTGAGGTCCAGAGAGGTAGAGCGACTAATCTGACCCAAATTCACAACTGAGGGACCAACACCGGAACCTAGTTTTCTCAAGTGTTTAATTCGTGGTCTAGCCATCATCGGGCTAACAGTTCAAGATTGCTCTGGTCTTTTGGGAGAATTTTCTGCCAAATGCCATTCTTATCTTGCCCTCCCCTCCCCCACCCCATTCCAGTTGAGTCTTCTCTCAATTGAGAAATATTCTTCTTCTCTTTAAAGGTTCTTGGCCAAAAAAGAACGAAGTTCTTTTATTCATGGTGGCCTCTCTATGTCAATATTGTGAAACACAAAGAAAATCTGGGCACACATCCCCCAGAGCCATGACTCTGCAATTTTATACTTTCTGAAACCAACAGAATGCTACCCATGAGATAAGGGAGAAAGAGAATTCAAGGCCCTCTGGTCGCTGCTTATATGAGTTCTAGAATTTCCTGAGCGGTTGAGGTGACTGCAGGCTTGGCCTCCTGTGCTTCAGAGCCCAGTTGCTGAGAGGAAATTGCTGGCGGCTCTGAGGGGACGTGGGGTAAGGCTGTTCTCAGGGGACCCTGCTGACTTTCTTTTCCAGCCTCAGTGACTAAAAAACTCCACTCTAAAAAGCAAAACCTTGCCCGGCCGGGCGTGGCTCAGCGGTTGAGAGTTGATGGACCTAGGGTCCAGGCGATCGGGGTTCGATTCTCGGTCAGGACACATGCCCGGGTTGCGGGCTTGATCAATGACTCTCTCATCATTGGTTTCTATCTCTCTCTCTCCCTCTCCTTTCCTCTCTCTGAAATCAATAAAGATATATTTTAAAAAATTAAAATAAAATAAAAATAAAAAGCAAAACCTTAAAAAACTGTACTTCTCTGCCACAGAGAGGAACATGCACATGTGACCGGTTTGCTGTTTTAAAAAGTGACCCAAGATGGTCAACACACTTAGTGCTTTCCTTTGGGACACAGCAGAAGACAGCAAAGCCCCCACCCCACCCTACCTCCCAGACTGTAAGCCCAGGGGAAATGCGAAAGGTGTGTCTAACTTGGTAGCCACAGTGGGCTAGGGCCCTGAGGTCTCCGGGGTTTTAGCTGGAGGCCTGGGGAAGTTTCCCTCTGGCCACAAGCAAGGCTTGATTCCAGCCCACTTGGCCTCCCTGGGTGAGAGCAGGGACAGGAAAAACGACAAAGTCGGGGATTGCCTGGAGGCCTTGGAACTATTCAAAGGAAGCAGGGACATGGAAGACTTCCCTCTCTCCACCACCCGCCCCGAGACAACAATCATCTCTGAGGCTTTCACTCCCAAAGAAGGCTCCCTTCTCTTTTACTCCTTCCACAGGCTTCCTCCTCCAGGCTGGGGGTGGAGAGCCTTCTAGGGAGTTCCATCCTTAGCTTTCCAGCCAACGGGCCATAAAAATATCAGTGTCTAATCCATGTCCTCCTGCACTTTGTAATTTTGTTATTATTATATTGCAGGGTCTAATCCATGTCCTCTACACTTCGTAATTTCGTTATTATTATATTACAGGGTCTAATCCATGTCCTCTACACTTTGTAATTTAATTACTATTATATCTCAGGGTCTAATCCACGTGCAGCTTGTTGTTATTACTATTATTTTAAACTTGCTGATGTTCCCCGTGCTTATCAAATGGAGAGAGGCTCGGCCCGGTCTTCCAGTGGGTACAAAGGCCAGCTGGACCGTGAAATGGGGCCGTTTCGGGATTTTACACACTTGGGGTGGACAGAGGTGGCTGCAACTGCAGCGACTTCACAGAGCTCCCCACCACTCGCAGGTGCTTTCTACTCCCCCAGAAGTTCAAGGGGGCCCTTTCAAAGGGCGTAAATCACCGCTTGACCATGCCAGGAGGACTCCCTCGAGTTGCCTTCCTGGAGTCCGACAGCGGGAAAACTTACCTACAGGGGTACAGGGACCCAACTCGCTTTCAGGAGCCGCCGACCGAGCAGCAGAGTCCGCAGCCAGACGGAGCAGGGAAGTCGCAGGCAGAGCCTCCCGGGCCTCCGTCGCCACCGCCTCCCCCGCGGCCGCCCCCTCGCCCGGCCTCTCCCTCCGCACCCGCCCCGCGCCTACCGTGGATCGCGTGGGTCGCGGCAGGAGCGGGGAGCAAACCGGTCCGGCAGGCGGG